TTCATTTTATACAGGTATATTAATTGTGAGTGCAAGAAAAATCTTTAGAAGATGCGACTACAAAAACCCTATGGACCAGGGCACCTGGGTGGCTTAGTTGGTTAAGGGTCTGACTCGGTTTTGGCTCAGGTCACGATCTCAGGGTTGTGAGACTGAGCCCCACATCCAGCTCTGCACTGGGCGTGAAGCCTGCTTAAGATCCTCTCTCTCCCTCTGCCTCTGTCTCTTCTCTCCCAACGCCCGTGCTCACTAGCTCTGTCCCTCTCTATAAAGGAAAAAAACAACAAAACACAAAAGCCCAGACACATCCATGCAAAATTTTACATACAATTTCAGGTAGTTAATAGACTCTCTGAAGCTCATCTATGCATCATCGCCTAGGTTTCTGCTACAGTAGATACAAGGACAGTTTAATGGCAGAGAAAGTATTTGACCTGCATTTCTCCCTCCGGCCTTGGAGAAGTGTTGGCTCCAGGACAAAACCTTGGTGCTGAAAAATGGCTGGACTCTCATCTGTAACAAGGGCTCCCACCTTACTGGACTGAAATGTTACTTAAGCTCCTCACACTGCTCCTGCTGTGTGGGCACCTATCTGTGTGAGGTGTCGGAGGGAGGGACTACTGGCCTTAATACCATTTTGGGTCTCCGCTTCTAACCGTCTAACTCACTAATTCTCAAAAGGGGAGGAGAAGGCAGGGACATGTGAGAGCAGTTGGTAGACATAAATTCAATATCATATTCAATATCATAATTTAATCCTTAACAATAAAAAAACAAGCTATTGTTTTCCTAATATAAGTACGTCTAGTGGGGGATTTGCCACATAGAACTTGAGCTTCAGAGAGATGAAGGAAGTAGCTGGGAAGGTAGGCAGATTATTCTCTTTAAGCCATACCTAGGAGGTTGAACCTTATCCTGAAAGCAAGTGGGGAGACTACTTAAAGGCTTTAAGTAGGAAAGTGACATGATTTGAGCCTTTTTTCAATTCTTTTGGTTGCACAGTGGAGAAAGAATTAGCAGCGGGCAAATTTGGAAGTCAGCATACTAGTTAGGCGGTTGTAGTCATTCAGTTTAAGAGATAATGGGCCTTGGATTCTGGGTAACAGCCGTAGGAGTAGAAATAAGTAGGTGGTTTGGAGAAAGAGATACTCCAGAGGCTGAATAAACCTGGACTTATTAATTTGGTGGTGGGAAGCCAAAGAGGAGTTGAGTTAGATTTCCAGATTTCTGGCTTGGGCAGTTAAAAGGTGGTGGTTATCCAGGTCCATAGAGAATGCTGAAAGCAGCACTGGGGTGTGTGGAGATCCAAATACTATTTCCCATTCCTTGCTTCTAGGAGGTTGACAGAAAGGCCAGGAATGGATGCAGGGGCTGACACCCACTTCTGGGTCTCCCACATTTTTCCGAGAACAGTGACAGCCCCTGCTGAACGTTTCTTCTGGTCTATCCATTCTTTCCCTCTGCTCTACTGAGTTAGGGTTTTCTCTTAGCCTCTTCACTCCCAACCCCTCACCAACACAGTTGGAACAGACGATCAATTTAGGAGAAAGTCACAAGGAAAAAGTTACATCATCCAGAGGGTAGAATTGAATGACGACCAAACAAGACATGCATTAATAAACTGATATATATCTTTTTTATTATGCACAGATAAAGGACTTAAAACTGTGGTTATCAAAACTATACATCTAAGCATGTTCATAAAATTGCCAATACATTGAACAGAGAAAAGAATACAAAAGGGGCGTTCAAACTGGCCACAGGGATTTTAAGGGTACTCTTTTTACCCTGATAGATGAAAAACAGCAACAAAATCAGGCTCACTCAGGAAAAACCAGAAGAGAGAAGTATTGTATTTGGAAACTGATAATAGTCCTTTTTAGAAAAACATCTGTCAGTTTCATGAACAACCCCCAGATAAAACAAACAGGAAAAAGGTCACACACACACACACACACACAAGTCACCCAACAAAATGTGCTCTGTTAACACACCCAGCAGTAGGAGCATCACTCACACCATGAGGTAGTTACAGTACGAAAAGAGTGGCACGCGTGTGCGCACCCCACACACCCACAACCATGTCCACTACAGAACACTCACAGAAAATGGGTTTACAATCTTATTACAGACAAGGAAAAGACCATTTTCGTTTGCTTGTATAGAAAATGCTATAGAAACAGCTCAGACAGATGTCTCCGACTCTTAAAATACAGAGTAATTGCTGGTAAACACATCACGAAAAGCTAGAGGGCATTACATAGACCCTCTGCCCTTGGGAGTTTAGAGCATTTCAACAATAGCTTTAGCTTGAACAACAAACAAAACCAAATGGTCTCTGTGAATAGGGTGTAGCCTGCTGAAGTAACGAAGGACTTTGTAGACAGAAGCATTTAACTGGAATATAACAACAGTTTTAAAGAAACTCGCAGAACTTGTTATAAAGTATAGCTTGTATTTTGTATTGAAACTGTGAAGTATGAAGCGACTGGAAATGTAATAAGCTAGGGAGATAACACTTTCTTTAGAAACATTTTTTAGAGACATTTCTGAGATACCCAATGATATTCACTCTCCAATTAACGTGGGATCAGGTTTATCAACACGGATTTCTTGATCTGAATAATACTTCTGACAGTAAGACCCAAACAAATAAAAGGTGATTTTTTCCTTTTCTTTCTTTTAAAATCTTTTGGTTTGCATCCATAAATTTGTAAATTAATTTTAAATTACTTATAAAATCATTGGCAATGTAGCATCTCTCTCAAAAATATACATTTAAATATAATCACGAAAGGCTTTAACCCTGCCCATCTGAGGATTTGGATCTTTTAATACCTCTTAATAGCTAATTTTCTTTTTAATAGGATGGAAAGGGTTTTTTAAACAGCAAAGAATTGATCAAAAGAATTCACAGTAACTGAAATTAAACATTTCATATGGAGTAATTTAAATTTATCAAAAACACTTAAATATATCTTTATACACAAATTTTTGTAGTAAAATATAGCTATAAGTGACTTAAAGACTCTAGTCTTCCTTGAAGACATCTTTAAACTTTTTTATACATAGAATATGCTAAAACAATACATTCTGCTGAAGGTTAGGCAAAGCGCATTATTTTCAAACACAGGTAGCATCATCTAATTCCTCCATTCTGATACCCTTGTGTTAAAAAGTTAACTGAAGGAAATAAATTCTCTAATCTCATATCTTCATTTGTATGTGGAAATCTGCAAAATTTTCAAGAAATCAATGCAGATAGCCTCGAAATCATAGCTCTCAAGTAATCTGTTTTGGTTCCTATTATCGAGATTATCTACACTTCTCAAATCAGAGTATTACTCTGTGAGTGGGTAATATATCTGTCCTATCAGTGACTAGTATGATCTATCAGTATCCTATCAATGACTCTCAGTATCTCCACCTATTTGTGTGCCTTTTAAACACTGCCTTCAGGTCTTGGGTGTCATCAACATTTTCTACTTAGGGTTCCATTCAGTGAACTAGGCACAACTTCCTTATTTTAAGGGCGGCGAGATTTGTTTATGAATATTGTGGGGTAGAATCTAGCCTTTCTTGTTTGTAGGTTTCGGAGTCATTTTGGGAAGAATTCTGGAAGAAGGTTAATATTTATTTGCAATGAAGCTATCCTCAGTAGTAAATGAATTGGCATGGAAATTTCCCTCTGGCAGTCTTTTTTTTTTTTTTAACACAGAGGTATCAGTTGAGCTTATTTTAGCTGCAAAGTGGCATCATATTATTCCATTTTAATGAAATCCACCTCAAATCCTTTTTGAGTTTGGAAAACATTTAAGGCAAGAGAACTAAAGCAGTCCAAAATGAGTGCCCTTTTCCACATCTCAGCACTTTCTTGGCAGACTTGGTGACACTGTTCAGATAACCAACCGGAATCCAACAGGATCTGCTGTGCTTTTGCACGCACGAACAAGAGCTTCGCTTTGTACAAAAGGGTCTATTAAAAATGTTGACGTGTTTTGAGTGGAAACACGAATTCTCCCAAACATTTGAGAGTAAGTTCCAACTCGGAGGCATAGGGCATTTTAAAAAGGGGAATGAATTTTCTCTTTTTTAACTGAGAAAACGAATGTGCCAGATGACACAGTCTATACCTGTCCTTTCATATACATTACTGTGCAAATTCCTCTTCTACTTTAAAATTAAATCTGCCCCCATTTATGCATTAGTTTTTCAGAACACAAGGTCATAAATGGGCACAAATCTGCAGTCCCAGATTTTGGCCATTTTCAATTTCTATCTACTTATAAAGAAATACAAAATTTGCATTAAGACATTTTTGCAGTCGGTGTGCGAGTGCGGGAGAAGGGGGGAAGCTGATAAGGCTATCAGCGCGGGTTTTGGCCCAGGGCACCAGAAAGGAATGTTGCTGTGATGTGTGTCAGGATGCAGTTCCCGAGGGCAGCACCCGTCAAGCCGAGAACATCAGCCCCTAGAGGGTGTGACAGCAAAGTAAGAAGTGTGCATCCAGAAGGTGCAAATTAGATGTGGAGGAACACACTTAGAAAATCCTGAAGTACTCCTTTTGTCTTACATCTTGGGTCAGTTACCCAAGAACCTTCGGCCGTATCTCCTCACGGGTCCTACTGCCTGCTTCTTATCCTCTTACCGACTCCTCGCGTCAGGGTAAATCTCAGGGCCCCAATTTACGGATAGTCTTACCTGGACAAAGCAGCATTTTGAAAACTGGCATGTGTTTCACATTGAAAACCCCCAAGCCTGTGCGGGGCTGGTGGAGAAGGCCGCCACCTCGGCTTTCTCGCGTGAGTTCTAGTGCGCTACGGCAGTCCAGGGGTCACACGTGGATTAGCCCTGGGTGGGGTGGGGTGGGGTGGGGGGATGAATACGACAGGTGGTCTCGGTATCGAAATCACTCCCTCTTTGCGGGGGCACGGCGACGCCGTCCTCCGAGGCCGCGCCCCGCGCTGCGGAGCCCCGGGCTGGCGCTGGCGGCGCCCCGGCTAGGCGGCGCTGCTGCTGGAGCAGGGCGTGCTCTGCGTGCTGCCGATGCTGTGCGCCGCACTGCTGTTTTCCGAGGCCGGCGGCGAGGTGGGGACTTGCTGCCTTCCCGCGGTCTCCCCTGCGGTGAAGGAAGAAAAGGGACAAAGGAAGACGCGTGTGACGTGTGTGCATCCCTGACCGGAACATTTCCCCGTCCGCCCGTTTAATCTGCCGTTTCTCTGGGCGCCATGGGCGGAAGCAAGCCGACCAGGCCTCACAGAGAAAGGCCTTCGGTGTGTTGGTGTTTCCTTTTTGTTTTTAAAGCCTCTTGCGTAGCGAAAAGAGAAGGGTTTTCAAGCTGACTGATGGGCAGTTCTAGCGACTAAGACCCGACAGAGGACACTGAAACCTCCGGATTTCAGCGCCTCGGACCTGTGAAGAAACCACCACCATCTGCGCTGTGTGCACTACGCCGTATGTGCTCTGGGGCCCTGGATTCAGGGACACACCGCCTGCCTCTTCGCACAGAGAAGTTTGCAGGGTGAGACCTTTACACCGTAGCGAGAGAGGCCTGGCGGTTCGGGGGGCCTTTTTCTGAATCGACTTGCTCAAAATGGGGGTTGTGAGCCTCGATTCTGCTGGAGCTACAGCAGAGAGCTGTGTGCCCCAAGCCCACAACTCACCTGAGAAAGGGACTTTAGGGCAAGCCTGCTCCCAGAAAAAATCTTTGGGCGGAAGGAGCTGAGCTGATCGCCCACGGGGCGCGTGGTTGCCAGAGAACCACCTCCTCCATCCTGCAGTTCACTGGGGTGCAGCGAGAATATCTCCTAACACATGAAGCATCCCACTTTTCATGACACATCCCACTGCATTTTAACGAAGCCCATTCCTTGTGCCAAATGTGCAGTGCTTTAGAGGAGGAGGGACCCCTGGGGTCGCACACATGGTTTGCATTTAGCACTGCAAAAGGCCCTAGAGCGAAGTCTTTTCTTCAGCGAAAATGGTCTCAGGGCAGCCCTCAAAAATGGTTCTGCTAGGGAAAAGTGATCGGCGCTCCAATGAAAAACACTGCATGTTCTCTGAAAAGTCACAGCATAAACTTAATAAACTTCTGGTCAGCGGTCTCCCGGCCCTCCTCCTCCCCCAATGTGGGAAGCCCCAGAGGGCCAGGTCTGTTGATGAATGAGCCTCCTCTTTCCTGTCATGCTGAAATACACAGCTATCAGCCAGAGAGATAAGCAACCCTCTGGCCGTTTCGTTAAAAAACTCACAGAGCAAAGGCTCTATGCTTCAAGGGCAGGATCTTAGCCCGTTACTTCCATTCCCTTGCTGGGGCCCCTCAAAAGACTCTGTCAAAAAAGCAGCTCTGCGAAATGTAGAACCGGCTCGTGCCCTAGCGTCTGGTTACAGCTTTCCCTGTCACCCACTTCACAAACCACACAACTACCACACACATGCTGGCATCAACCTCACGGCATTTATATGCTCGCTGCATTATTAGGCCCTTGCTGGATTATCTTTTGATTATTTTTTCTTCTGGGATTGGTGGGATAGAGAAGGGATGGGGGGGTCAATATGCCTCAGAGGCAGAGAAACTGTGTTTTCACTCTTCTTGTTTTTTTTTGGGGGGGGGCAATCTATATTTTGGACCCTCCCCAGCATTGCCCTCTACCCTGCATGGATGTATGTAATAAAAGATGGGGAAATTTGCCTTATTGACAGTGACTTTTCTGCCAGAAATTCACTTTCCCCAGAGTGGGAGCTTATTTCTAGAAGGAAATCAAATCTCTTAGCTATTCTGATGTCAAAAACCAAACCAAAACAAAAACCCAGAAACAAAAAAACCAAAAGCCTCCAGAGACCTGAACAACTCGTGATATATTTTAAAAATTCAGCTCCCTTAAACCCACATGTTGATCCACACCCAGCTGGATCCTTATGTTATCAATTAGAAGGACGAATGTGGCTGTGTGTGAAGCACATTTTAAAAACATCTTTTCCCCATTTAAATAGAGGATACACCAGAAAAGCAGGAGGAATCGACACTTCACCTCCTTTTGGCTCACCTGGACTTCATTTGTGCAGCCTGATAGCAGCTAAAGCAAGATGGCCTTGCCTCATTTGTCGACAATGAACAAGTGTCTCATCCAGACCTGGACATGTGCTTGATTATTCCAAGTGAGGAAAAGTGCCAGTTCTACTCCCTGCCCAGGAAGTCTGAATATTTGCTTTCTGATGTTTATTTGCCAAATACAATTTGTTGCCATGCCAGTTTATTTTAATCAGTGCCCATTAAAAAGGTCTTTCAACTTCCAGTTTTGGAAACTCTGGTGCTAATGCAAAACACTGTCCAAAATGAAAGCTCAAAACAAAGAAGCCCCCTATACTCAAGATTGCAGGATGCGTTTCACCATGGTGTACAAGTCAATTTAATAATCTACTGACTTTGAAACAGCATTATATGTTGACAGATGGTAGCTACACTTGCAGTGAACGTTGCAGAATGTATAAACTTGCGGAATCACTATTGGACACCTGCAACTAATGTAACACTGTGTGGCAACTACACTTCAGGGGAAAAAAAACTAGGAAAAAAAATAATCTACTGACTTTGAGCCAATAATGTGCCAAGCCAAGGAGAATCTTTCTCTGAGAATCTGCCCAGAAATACGGAAAATACCTTCTTCTACCGTGGTGGCTGTTTTCACATGTAAGACATCAGATTTCTCAATATAACCAAGTTATTAAAACCTTTTACCTTCTGAGAAATTAAGACAAAGTTTTTCGTTGTCTGATGGAGGTGGTGCTACAGAAGAAGTCACCATGAGAAACAAAGTTTAATGTGCAGACGCTTCTGTTTAAAAAAGCCAATGGAGTTCCCCTGGGTTTTCTGAGCTGGGCCCTTTGGTTTTCTGCTCTCTATCACAGTGACCTCTCATTTCTTGGAGCACTGACTTTCTCTAACACATCCCTTGGGTGACAAACACAACCACCCTTCTTCTGGAGAAGATGGGCAGTGAGGACTGCAGGACTAAGCAGAGTAGCCCCACTTAGCAAATGTAAGGAGTCCAAGGAAGGATCCTTGCTGCTCATAAACATCATAGTTGGCCATCAGAAGAAATGTGTTCAGTCTTCACACTTTGCTCCTAAAATTTCACACCCCACTAAGGAAGAGAGATGTGGGGAGGAAGGGTAGTAGGGGAAAAGGCATTTGGAGGAGGGTGTGTTAGAACTAATTTGACCCAGCTCACATATTCGCCTGTGGCTGAGCTGAGCTATTGCCAAAGATGCTTTCAGAAATAGAAAAATAGGGGCGCCTGGGTGGCTCGGTCGGTTGAGTGGTTGCCTTCCCCTCGGGTCATGATCCCGGAGTCCTGGGATCGAGTCCTACATCGGGCTTCCTGCTTGGCGGGGAGCCTGCTTCTCCCACTCCCTCTGCCTGCCTCTCTGCTTACTTGTGCTCTCTCTGTCTCTGTTAAATAAATAAATAAATTAAATAAATAAATAAATAAATAAATAAATAAATAAATAAATAAATAAATAAAATCTTAAAAAAAAGAAATAGAAAAATATATTTCTTAAGGGATAATCTGTTTTATTTCTTTTGCTTGGCATGGAGTTGTCCAAATCTGATTTCCTGCCACCTTTGGCAGTCTACTTTACAACTGGATTCTTATCTCTGTGTCTTTCAGCATGGCAGGTCGTGGGGAAGAAACTTTATCACAGAAAGATGTGAATAACACGGGCAGGCTCTATGGGGAAACAACAACAGAAGAATTTTAAAGAAAGGTGAGAGGAATCTCAAACATTTAGCCCAAAGGAGAATGTTTGCAAATATCACCCAAAGAGGATTATTATAAAGAAGAGCAGACAGCTGTTCTTTATCTCTCTTGAGGGCAGAACATGAGGAAATGAGTTTAAATGGTAGCAAAAAGGATTTAGTCACAGAGAAAAGAACTTGCTGATTATGGGGATTGGTTAGTTATAAGGGGAATTTATGGAATCTCTTTCTTGGAAGATACTTAAGCACTGGATTGAAAACCATACGCCTAGGGGTGATTTAGATTTAATATTACTTGATGCTGGAAAGAAAAAGATACTGTCTGCTATGCCTATGTGTTGTTTGCAATTGTGTACCAATCAATGTCTCAATCTCTTGATATCTTAACTGTAATTATTTTACAAGCTTACTCCTGTAAGGAGAGTGAACTAGACTACCATTAGTTTATAGAAATTTTCAATCACTATCATTTTCAAAAATTGTCCCTCCTTACTTTCTGAGCTAAAAGACTTTCCTTCTGCAGGCAAACTCAGCAGGAGGGTTAAATTTGATGTTATAATTTATGAGGAAAGGGGGAAATATTCCAAGGCAGGAATGAGTGAATGAATAAATTTATTTTTAAGATTTTATTTATTTTTTTTGACAGAGAGCACAAGCAGGGGGAGAGGGAGAAGCAGGCTCCCCGCTGAGCAGGGAGCCCGATGTGGGGCTTGATCCCAGGACCCTGAGATCATGACCTGAGCCGAAGGCAGATGCTTAACCACCTGAGCCACCCAGGTGCCCTGCAAGGCAGGACTTTAAAACCTTCCAGAATATCCTACCTGTCGCTTTCTTTCTATGTTCCTGCAGTATGGCCAACCTATTTGCACCTGCATTTTGGTTTTCTATGGCTATCTTACTTTATTTTTTATTTTTAAAAAGAGTTTTATTTTAAGGAATCTCTATACCCAAACATGGGGCTCCAGCTTACGACCCCGAGATCGAGTCACCTGCTCTACCGCCTGAGCTGGCCAGGAGCCCCATAGCTATCTTACTTTTTTGTTTGTTTTTGTTTTGTTTTCCTTTAGAATTATTTTATTAAATCATAAATGTACAACAGCTTCTTAACTCTACACACGGTGGATCCTGCCATCTTTATGGTCACACCTGGGTTCCCACCTGGATCTTGCTGATCGCTGGGACTGAGTCTCTTGCCCCCTACTTTTAGTCATCCCTGTCTTGCTGCTCCTCTCTTCACCTGGACTAAACTTGGGAGCCTGAAGAAACTTCAGATTTCTAGAAACATAGGAAGCCCCCACAGATTCTCCTAATTAAAAGCTCTTATCTGACTCAGGTAAACTTAAGGATGTGCTTGACTT